TCCCTGCCTCCCTAACCTGTCCTTCCTCCCACCTATCCCCTCCTCCCACCTCAAGCCCCAACCCCATCTCCTACCTACTAGCCTCATCCTGCCCCCTTGACCTGTCCGTCCTCCCTGGGCTGACCTATCTCCTCCCTAACTCCCCACCTACACTCACCTTTACTGGCTCCATCCCCGCCTCTTTGTCCTGTCTGTCTCCCCTCCACCTATCTTCTCCTCTATCCATCTTCTATCCGCCTCCCCCTCTCTTCCTATTTATTTCAGAACCCCCTTCCCCTCCCCCATTTCTGAAGAAGGGTCTAAGCCTGAAATGTCAGCTTTCCTGCTCCTCTGATGCTGCTTGGCCTGCTGTGTTTATCCACCTCTACACCTGTTATCTCAGATTCTCCAGCATCTGCAGTTCCTACTATCTCTGTGTCAGAGATTCTGTTCACTCTGAGAGCTGGCTCTGAGGAAGCCAGACCAGTGTCAAGTACAATGCACATGGAAATAAAGGGTGACTTAGTGATGGGATTCTGGCGTCAATAGAATTATTTCACCAGCTACGATGTTCCATCTGAGAGGCAAGCCTGCTACCAGAGAGCCACAGACTTATAGAGCTATGAGAAGCAGCTGCTGAGCGTATGCATTATTCATTTCTGGGAAAGAGCTATCAGCCTGCTGACTTCAGTACAATATCACAACAGAATAGTGATATGGAACATTGCTTGGTTATTGTTACAATGGTGACATTGCTTGTATATTTTGGTGTTGAGATGGTCTTAGATCATGGCAGATTTACAATATATCTATCTGGACTTTTTATAGTTTAAAAAAAATCCTCCCCTCTTCCTCTCTCCAGGTTTTCCCACTGATTAACCCAGCTGAGTCACCAGATTCAAAGCTGATAACCAGCACTCTGCTTATTAGAACAAAGAACAAAGAAAATTACAGCACAGGAACAGGTCCTTCGGCCCTCCAAGCCTGCGCTGATCCAGATCCTGTATCTAAACCTGTCGCCTATTTTCCAAGGATCTGTATCCCTCTGCTCCCTGTCCATTCATGTATCTGTCTAGATACATCTTAAATGACGCTATCGTGCCTGCCTCTACCACCTCCGCTGGCAACGCATTCCAGGCACCCACCACCCTCTGCGTAAAGAACTTTCCACGCATATCTGTCTTAAACTTTTCCCCTCTCACCTTGAAATCGTGATCCCTAGTAATTCAGTCCCCCACTCTGGCAAAAAGCTTCTTGCTATCCACCCTGTCTATACCTCTCATGATTTTGTAGACCTCAATCAGGTCCCCCCTCAACCTCCGTCTTTCTAATGTAAATAATCCTAATCTACTCAACCTCTCTTCATAGCTAGCGCCCTCCATACCAGGCAACATCCTGGTGAACCTCCTCTGCACGTCTCCAAAGCATCCACATCCTTTTGGTAATGTGGCGACCAGAACTGTACGCAGTATTCCAAATGTGGTCAAATCAATTTTTCTCTGTTGCTTGCTCATGGTTCAGGGAGGAACCCTCTCAAGGGCAAACTGAGATGTCGAATAAATGCTGACCTAGCCAGAGGTACCCATATCCCATGAATGAACAAAACAAAACAGCCGCAAGAAAGATTGAAGAGGAGGTGCTGTCTAACCATTAGGCCCTGGAAGGGAATGGGCTGAGGGGAGAGGGGAGGAACCAATCTGTGGAGATTTTTGACAACCAATGCTGATTTATTAATTTGAATTTGAGAAATGCTGCTGCTTTCTGAGTTAGTTAAAAGTCAGGAAAAGACTGATTTTGTATGTGCGGCCTATCCTGTTTTTTGAGTAGCAATCAGCTCTAAGCCAGACTGACTCTGAAAATGTCTCCCACTGGGCTCAAAGGCTGAAAGTAAATTGAATTGAGTGATTAAAAATATAACCTTGCAATACAAAACCGTAGCTGAAGTCAGATCGCAAGGATATCCTGATAGTGGAAATATTGAATGCAGATTAATGCATTGCTTTCCTAAATTTTGGGGAAAAGCAATTTGCACAGTCAATAGAGCTTGATTCTGTGGCTGCTTCTGTTATCACAGGATTTGGGTGTGCTTCATGTCAACACTTAATAACTTGGGAGGAAAATGCAAACATTCACCAAGTTATGGCTAGCCCCTGTAGCATTCTCTGCTTGGCCAACCTGTTAGCCCTTGACATAAGTGTGAGAAATGGGTTCTTGTTCTGATTTTCTCAGTTGAAAAGGCCTGATTTAATTTTGCTGATAAAAAACCTCAGTTTATTGTTTACTTCCAGTTACTCAGAAACTATTATTCTTTTTGCCAGATGTTATGGATGTTTATTGAGGAGAAAACAATTAGGAAAGCCATGCATAAAGAGTACTGGGAAATGAGGACTAATTGAATGGCTCTTGAGGGGACACAGACATAATAGTCTCCTTTTGTGTTTAATGGTTCTAAGATAAACACAAAGAAGAATACGGTACTTTAACTTCAAAGGGCAATACATTGTCTGAACACGTTGAATCTTTCAGCGTTCTGCGCTTTTGCCTGTGAAGTATTTTCAGGTTACAGTACACAGATTCTTGTGTATTTGTCAGAGGCTGCCATTGCATTGTTTGGCCAATAGGAGCCAGCAGATGGAGTCTCTTTGAAACATTACCCATTACCATTGGATATGCCACAGTTACCACTTGCATTGTCAACTTTAGAAGGGTAAAATGTCACTCAGTTGTCATCAGACCTAAACCATTTCCAAATTCTTTCTTCCTCCTTCCGAAAGACTTGCATTTATGTAACACCTTTCATGAAATAAGGCTTTGCATCCAATGGAGCAGTTTTGAAATGTGGTTTCTGCAGAATCGTAATTAGACACTGCTTGCCTAGTTGTAGGTTTTCTTTTGTTGATTTTACGAGAAAGCATGTTAATTCTTGCCCTCTTGTGTAGATAATATTCATAAATCTAAAATGTGCTTGTTATCTCCATGATCCCTCATCAATGTATTTATCGTAGAATTCTCGTAATTGCAATGTGAAAGAAGCTGAGTGCTTTACGACTGCAACACTCCATCTGCTTGATTCAGCGGAAGAAAATTGTGTCATGGTGTGGGATGATAAAGAAGTGAACAAGTTGATTTCTTATGTTGTTCCTTTCTACTCTGGTTTCAGGTGGCCTGGCTGCTGTTATCTACACAGACACACTCCAGACAGTCATCATGATTATTGGAACTGTGATACTAACCATTGCAGGTACTGCTTGTGTGATTCACCATGGGGATCCTGAATCATTTTTTTACTGGCTTCATTGGGTGGGTGGGTGCTGCTTTTTTTTTTATTCATTGACATGATGTGGGTGTCATTGGCCAGACCAGCATTTATTACCTATTATTATCCAGTAGACCCCTCATTGCCCAAAGGGCAGTTGAGTGTCAAGCACAATGCTGAGAGTCTGGAGTTACATGTAGGCCAGACCAGGTAAGGATGGCAGTTTCCTTCCATAAAGGATACTAGGGAATCAGATGGGTTTTTCCAACAATTGACAATGGTTTAATGTCATCATTAGATTCCAAATTCCAGATATAATTCAACTTCCACCATCTGCCATGGCAGGATTGGCACCTGGGTCTATGGATTAATAGAGATAGTAGGAACTGCAGATGCTGGAGAATCTGAGATAACAAGGTGTAGAGCTGGATGAACACAGCAGGCCAAGCAGCATCAGAGGAGCAGGAAAGCTGACGTTTCAGGCGTAGACCCTTCTTCAGAAAAAGATCCAGACCGGAAACGTCAGCTTTCCTGCTCCTCTGATGCTGCTTGGCCTACTGTGTTCATCCAGCTCTACACCTTGTTATCTATGGATTAATAGTCTGGTGATAATACCACTAGGCCATCACCTACCTTTGCATGTAATTTTGTTCTTCCCTACACTGTTCCCAAAAAAAAGCAAAGGATTACTGCCTCTTGCCATTTCTCGATCCAGCTAGCTGTTGCCAGCTCAGGTTGGGTATGTTCTGAAGATCCAAGCAGGCCTCACAAATAGGGAATGGTGTTGTTAACTTTTATTAAAAGAGGGTTGAATTGAATTAGCTTTATTGTCACATGTACTCAAATAAGTACAGTGAAAAGTTTCCAAGTTACCATTATGGCGCCATCTTAGGTACCAAGTATGTAGGTACAGTTTGTTTAGTACAAGATATTAGGGGAAAAAAATTAGAAAAATAAAGAAATAAGAAGTCCAACATTACAGATTGTAGGAATAAATAAAAAGTGCAGAAGACGAGTAAGACTTAATGCAAACATGGCTTTAGTGAGACCACTCCTGTGCACAAGATCTCAAGGAAGAACATACCTGCATTGAGAGGTTGCAACAAAGATTCACTAGACTGATTCGTGAGATGAGAGAGTTGTCTTGTGAAGAGTCATCCAGTAGAATTATTACAGAGTTTAGAAGAATGAGAGGGTAGATATCGAGAGACTGTTTTGCTTGGTTGGAGAGCTGAACACTCGGGATTATAATCTCAGGACAAGGGTAACCATTTAGGAAAGAGCTAATGAGAAAAGTCTCCACTCAAAGGGCTGTGAATATTTGGAGTGGTCAATGTTTAGAATAACCTTGCAGGTAGAATAGTGCAGGCAATTTGCAGAGGCTCCTTTGGCAGTACCTTCCAAACCAGTGACCTTTACCACCTAGAAGAACAAGGGCAGAAAGCACATTAGGACACCATCATCTGCAAGTCTCCTCAAAATTACTCATCATCATAAATAGGAATTTGGATCACTGTCCCTTCACTGTTCTGGGAACTTCCTTCCTGATAGCAGTGTGAATGTACCTAAAACACATGGACTGGAGTGCTTCAAGAGCAACTAATGATGGAGAACATCTTATTCTAATGCTCCTAAAAAGAGGAGGTCACTTCCAGGAGGTGAAGGGGAAGGCCAGATCTGAAAACATTCTTTCTCAACCTTCTCTATTACCTAAGATCAAATTTTCCAATCAATCAAGGGCTAATCAAATGAAGAATGAGATATCTGGGATAAATATATGAAGGCTTCAGAGACAATTCTTTGTAAATAAAACTTCAAAGTAGAGATAGATTGTCCATGCTACTCATTCACATTACTATTTTGAAAGAATAGATTTATTGCATAGAAGCATCTCCTAATACAAGATACAGGAGCTCAACTGGCTACTGCACCAAATCCTGAAATAAATCTATAGGTTGCATAGATAAAAATCAGCAAGACCAATAATTATAGCAGCTGGACTGGCATGACAGTTTTTAATGTATTTTTAAAAAATCTTATTTACAATATTCTTGTAGCTTTTAACAAGATTGGAGGGTACCACAACCTGGAAAGTGTATACCTAAAGGCAGTTCCAACAAAGATTATTCCCAATACAACGTGCCATCTCCCCAGGGCAGATGCCATGCATCTGTTCAGAGATCCAGTGACTGGAGATCTCCCATGGACCGGCATGATCTTTGGATTGAGCATCCTGGCGACATGGTATTGGTGCACAGATCAGGTAATGTAAACATATTTTATCTTACATTCATTTTTTTCATTTTTTTTAATATACACAATCCAAAATGCAGGGTCTATGTTAAATACTTAGATTTGTCCAAAGAGTACAGTTTAATTGCTTAGTTCAGAAGGCATTTGTTGAATTTACTATGCTTCAATGGGTCACTCGGTCAATGCTATGCGTGTGGACTCTGTCATTTCTGCAATTCTGTTAACTGGCAACTTTGCCTTCAAGTTCTTTTGCGTTGTTAATTTGGAGACGGACAGACCCAAAGCAGTGGTTGTGCTCATTGAAGAAATGGCTGAATCCATGGAGATTCCACTGGATTTGTTGCAGTTACTGTACATTCTGGACTCAGTCACACCCAGCCCCACTGTCGAATCCGGTCTGCCCAGTCCCTTCTGTTCAAGGAATGCTGTCACTGACCGGCGCGGTACGGCCTTTTGGGAATTATTGTGTGGCACCATTGCGTTTTGGAGGCCGCTCAGCTTAAGCATCGGTCTTCTACTTTTGCTCAAATCAGGGCTGCTTGAAACAGTGTGGAGGGGTTGAAAAGTCCGAGTATCTACAGTCGACCAAATTAAAGCAGCTGCTGACTTTGTTGGGGCTGTGTATCTCTCCCTCTGTAACAAAGAAGAAACATTTGAATGAGTTAGTCAGATAGATTGAGAGGCAAGTTCGTCGGGTTTGCTGTTTATCTAATTTGAAAGTTGTTTTCAACACGTTATTATATTGATGTGAAACAAGGTGGTGTGATATCTGTGCATTTTAGCTTGCTTTCCCAGGTACACCTACTCCACAAACAAACCTAGTCAATTCAGAGAGTAGCCAAGTTCCAATTAAAATGAATAGACTTTCTTCAGTTTATTTTAGCTTTTACTCCTGTCAGTCAAGTTGTGCCCTGTTGTTTCTTCCTCTAAAAGTGACAACTTGCTAAGCAAAACCAACATCACTAACTTTTGGGTGATATTTTGTTTTCAAGAGTTCTCTTTTACATTTAGAAATGCAAAATGATTTAGCCACACCCCCCCTTATTTACTTTCATAAAGAAAACATTTTTGACAATAACCTTTTAAAAGAGAAATCTCAATCAGAATCCCTACAGTGTGGAAAGAGGCCATTTGGCCCATCGAGTCTACACTGACCCTCTGAAGAGCGTCCTATCCCAGTATTAAGGGACACAGATGGATGGATCAGGGATGGGTAGATGGAGCTAAAATGCAGATAAACCATGATTTCATTGAATGGCACAGCAGGTTTAAGGAGCTGAATGGCATTGACCAGTTCCTAGCAGTAAGTTAATCAATGGAAAATACTTCTGATTTCTCAGGTAATTGTGCAACGGTCACTATCTGCAAAGAATCTGAGCCATGCAAAGGGTGGCTCAATACTGGCAAGCTATCTCAAAATGCTGCCTATGATTTTCATTATAATGCCCGGGATGATCAGCCGTGCCCTCTATCCAGGTAATGGAGTTCAAGCTATCATCTTTTCTAAGTCTAGTTCAAATGTTTGAGCCTTTTCCAAAGGCAGTTATTACAGATTTTGCAATTGTATATAAATAGTAATGATATTTCATCTCTAGTCATGCCTCCTTATTTATAATGAGCATATAAAGCTATAATATCCGTTGTGCGTTATTTCACACCACTCACTTCTGAATCAGAATGTCATGGCTTCAAGTCCCACTTTAGAGACTTCAACACAAAAAGAAAGAATGATCTTGCAGAGCAGTACTGCTGGAGTGCTGCTCTGTTGTTATCTTTCAGGCAAGACGTGCAACTAAGGTTCCACCTGGTACTTTAGCTGGCTGTAATTGATCACAAGGCACTACATCACAGAAAATCAGAGAGAGTATCCTAGTCAACATTTATCCTCAATCAATATCTCAAAAACAGATTATTAAGTCACTACTATTTGCTGTTCACAAATTAGCTGCTATGTTTACTGTATTAAACAGTGACTATATTTCAAAAGTACTTAATTGACTGTAAACTATTTGGGATGTCCGATGGTCAATGGCTCTATATGAATGCAAGTTATTTTTTAAAAAACTGATGATATATTATGTCAGCAGTTGCAATACTTATCATAAACGTGAGGCAGCCATTAGATGTACTTCAAGTTTAAATCATTTTAGTTATCAAAATAGGTCAGAGCTGGAACTTTATATTTCAATAAAGCATGGATCAGGAGTGATTTGATCAAGTTTTATTGGATAAATGAAGGGAATAGATTGTGCAATTGTAACTAAATTGATTAGGGAATGATTAGATTAGTGTTAAGTTGTACAAGGCTACACTATGGTTTAATGTTGGTTGCTTTCCCAATGGATAGCTGACCTCTGCTACAGGCTAAGCTAAACACAAAGAACTGCAGGTGTTGGAAATCTGCGATAAAAAGAGTGCTGGAGAAGCACAGGAGGTCTGGCAGCTTCTGTTAAGAGAAAAACAGAGTTAATGTTTTGAGTCCAGTGACTCTTTGTCAGAACTGAGACTGTTCTATAAATAAAGATAAACTAAAGATTCTAAAACTAGGGGACATTGTCTAAACATTAGGGCCAGACCATTCAGGAGGGATATTAGAAAGCACTTCTCCCACAAAGAGTGGTAGAGAAGTGGAACTCTCTTCTGTAAATGGCAGTTGATGCTAGATCACTAATTCATTTTAAATCTGAAATAGACAAACTTTGGTTTAGCAAAGTGATTATTAAGGGATATGGGCCAAAGGCAGGTGTATTGAATCAGCCAACAGATCAGCCATGATCTCATTGAATGGGGGAAGAGGTTCAAGGAGCTGAATGGCCTACTCCTGTTCCTATGTTCCTATTGGAGAGGATGCGGAATTCAAACAGACACCAGATTGCTAGAAATCTCAGTTAACAGTTTCTTTGGGAGTCTACATCAAGAGCCTGGATTCAGTCTAAAGATATGGGCCATTTAGGACTGAGATAAGGAGAGATGTTTTCACCTAGAGAGCGGTGAGCCTGTGCAATTCTCTGCCACAGAAAGTGGTGGAGGCCAAAGCGTTGAATGTTTTCTTAAGAGAGTTAGTTATAGTTATTAGGGCTAAAAGGATTAAGAGGTACGTGGAGAAAACAGGAACAGGACACTGAGTTAGATAATCAGCCATGATCATACTGAATGGCAGAGCAAGCTCAAAGGACTGAACGGTCTATTCCTGCTGAATGTTTCTATGTTTATTTACATGCACTCACAGGCTAATGTGAGATAGACTAGATGGGCTGAATGGTCTTTTCCTGTCCCTCATTGTTCAGAAATATGTGCACTGTCAGGTTATTGTGTAACCAGAGAGTCTGGTGAAGTTCAGTCAGTGGCGACTGTCTGTTATAATTTCAGTCTTAGTCACTCCTGTGCAAGAGTCATAAATGCTACCTTTACACTATTTATTTAATATTTATGACAGTAGGGTATTCAGTAATAGACTTGACCCTGCTAAATGACAGTTTATATGTGTCATAGATGTTGCATCCGTTCCAAATACAGTTGTGTGAATTAATGTCACATTTTAACCTATTACACCCTGCGTAGCATCTAGCAATGTTTGAGGTTAAAACAGTGCTATATAAATGTAAAATTGATCATAATTATGTGAACAATTAGCTGTTGGTTCTTTAGAATTTTTCACAATGTTTAGTGTATATATTTGGCAATGTAGGTAAGCATCTGTTAATGGAAAACAGAAGTGTGCAAATAGCATTACTTTAGAAATAGAAAATTAATTTGGGTCTGTCTCTAAATGATTTTACAAACAATGAAGACTAATGTTCAAAAATCAGGTTAATCTTCAACTTTATCACTTGTTTAAGTTTTACCATGGGCCATCTCCTGGTTCCCATGATGATAATTACATAGCTATAGTCTGGAATTTGCCATTGACGATTCATTTTTTTAAGGGAACTGTGTTTCTATTGATGTGAAATAATTAGCACTTGTGAAAAATAAATAAACATAAAATTAGGAACTGGTGCCCCATTTGTGCTTGTTCCTCCTAAAACTAGAAGGGCCAGTAACAAGACATTTTGCAGACAGACCCAAATAAACCCCTGACATTTTCGTAGATAAAGCTCAGATTTGAATGCAAGAAGAAAAAAATTGAAGGATTTTCCCTTTGTCCTCTAGCACTGAAAAATGATTGAGCAAGGTTTCCTGGTTACAGATTTCCTCACTGTAAAAATCATTGTGAGAATGAACCAACCTTTACAAGGATAGCAATCTTAAAACAACAAAGTGACATTTGGCATCAGCAGTATTGGCTAGATTTTAGGCAGGGTTACACTGACACTGGAGTGTTTTTTCCAAATGGAGTTGTGCTATACCAACCAAACACCTATTCTCATCTCACGGATCTGATACTCATATCATATCAGTATTATTTCTGTGCTACTTGATAAGGTGGCCCATTAAATAAATCCTTTTCTTTGGTTGTCAAGCACAGCCCAGGAAATAAGTTTATTTTTGGATAAACCAGTTGCTGGATTTGGGTAAGACTGGATTTGTGGCTTGTGGTCATTATAGAAGAAACCAACAAACAGCTTCTATTTCCATTGAGCAACTTAAACACGATGAACTATAGTGAATATAGTGCAGCTAGAAATGGCATCCCAATTCCCAAAGCTCACCTTCTGGTTCATCATCCAGTTGAATAACTTATTCCTCTCCATAGTGTTTAAGTGTGATACAGCGAGGATGCAGAAAAATAAGAAAACTAATAATGTGCCAGGGAGTAAACACAATTCATTTTTAACTCATCCCTTCCTTGAAACTACTATGAACCTCCTTACTTTACCCAGTCATACAGTCAAGAGTATTACAGCATGGAAAGAGGTCCTTTAGCCCATCGTGGCCATGCCAGAAATTAAACTCCAATCCACCCTCTCTTGTGCAATCACATATTTGCTATAATGTGGCAACCAGAACTGCACATAGTACTCCAGCTATAGTCTAACCAATGTCCTACACAGCCCCATCATAACCTCCTACCTCTTGTATTCAATGCCTTGACTGATAAAGGCAAGGATCCTACATGCCTTCTTAACCAGCTTATCTACTTGTTCTGCTGCCTTCAAGGATCTATAGACATGCACATATGGGTCCTTCTAATCCTCAGCACTGCCATTCATCATGTCATCCCTTGTTTTGTTAGTCCCCTCGCACTTTTCCTCTCCTCTCCATCTCAATTTGTTCGGTGTCTGCATGCATTTTTCCTTCCCTTTTGGTAGAATGATAATCAACCAAACAGAACCGTGGCCAACTGTAGTGTAATGTAAACCGTCAATGAATGCAAACATGTCGATGTAAAGCATCATTTTCTAAAGTGAATCTGGGTGACACAGCCTCTGCACACACCCACACCATCCATGGTCACAAGGAAGTGTTCAAGTCTGGCTCTTGGAAAATCCACACATCATGTGCAGTCACTGCTCATTAGTCCAGTTAAAAGTGGCCCTGGTTACATGGGCATTTTGGCTCTACCATCCGGTAGCAAACTACCATCCAGCAAAGTTTGATGACAAGGGTTTAGATGGTAGAGCATGCACACTGGGCAATCTCTGTATAAATTCAAGTCCCTCCATGATGATTGGTTGGAAACTGCAGATTGACATCCCCCCCAACACTCAGAGCCTGCTCCATCCCACCGCCCCACCCCAGATACTGACTGATCACTAGTCAGAATGGGCTCTGAGGAAGGGTCACTGGACCCAGAACATTAACTCTGATTTTTTCTTTACAGATGCTGCCAGACTTGCTGAGCTTTTCCAGCAACATCTGTTTTTGTTCCTGGAGTCATGTGGCTCCTGGTTTGAAAGCACACAGTAATTAATGATTAGGGCATTCGTTCCAGAATGAGTTTTATGAAATGGGAAATCTACTATGGGCACATCTCCTTGACTGAGTACTGTCCCAGGAAATGAGGGACATAGGGATATCCTATTTTATTGGATGGCCAAGGCAAATGTTATTAATCATTTTGCATACAAAGTCCAACAGTAAATAACAGAACTAACTGGCAAACATTTTGTTGTTGGACCGGTTCATGGTGAATATAGGCCTGGTTACCAGGAAGATGCACTGCTCTTCTGCAAGTAGTGCCACAGGATCTTTTGAATTCAGAGTTTCCAGACAATTAGTGGTCAGCAATAAAGGGACAGCATTGATTGCTGACTTGAAGAAAGCTACACCTTAAGTATTTGGCAAACTCTGCTGTGTCAATTTCTCTCATTACAATGTTAATTTGATTCTGGCACTATTTCTAGCAAAGTCACTGATGTCCAGGGACAGGCCAGCTGAGCAGCCAATCAGATTGAGGGATTCTCACAGCGAGCAAACCAAGAAGGCAAAACCAAAACGCATCAATTACCATTGCTTCTGAGATCTTCATTTTCAGCCTAAGAAAAATACCCTTGTGGGATTTTTATCAAGTTATTTCTGAGAATGTTTAGTGC